ACAACACTACAGTGCACTACAATATACTACACTAATTACACCACAACTACAACTACAACTACAACTGCAACTGCAACTGCAACTACACTACACTTATTACACACTGCAACTACAACTCCATTACACCACACTACAACTACAACTGCACTACACCACACTGCATCCAGCAGTTGTGGGTGAGGTGACCGCTGCAACCATTGCAACCACTCAAAAAAACACAACTTCAACCACCTTTCGGTCCATCAGTGGATTCGCTCTGCCCTCCGTGATTCGCAACAACCAACCTCTCCTCTAGGTTTCCTAATTTTCGAAACTTCCGCCACCGCCTTGTGCGGTACTACTGGTAAAGATGGTGCATAATGGTTGATATTGGTTAATACTGGTTAGTAATGGTTCGTTGATGGTTCATCATGGTTCATCATGGTTTGTAAAGGTTCACAATGGTTCATAATGCTTAATCATGGGTATTATCACCAAACATAATAATGGATGCTAGTAAAGGGGTAATCCCACAATAAATCTACCATGTGAGAATTGTTTATACCACCAATTATGGTAGTATTGGCAATGGCTAATAATGGTTAAAAATGGTTGATAATGGTTGATAGTGGTTAATGAAGGTTAATAATGGGTATATAACATGTATAACCAACAATACTAGATGAAAAATGGATAACGGGAATAATCTGGGAAAGCCAATGCCACAAACCAACGATGACTGGGGATGGTTGAAAACCAGCCTTTTATGGTACTATTGGGAATTGTTTTTGGGCATTGAGTGAATCCCACATTATATTTGTTTTGGCATATCATATGAGCCACGCTCAAAATCCACTTGTTCATTTTTTGTGGGGGAGAGGCATTAAGTGTTCCCTCTGCGCCGTCAGAAAGACAGGAACTTTTGACGGCTCACGTGGATTTAATTGAAATATCTGGATATAAACAACAATATGAGATTTTGATGAGTCTGACATGTTTAAAAACTAATGGGAAATTATTCTCAACCAAAGGATTCTTGTGTGCCCTATGTTTTCGACACACCCATTTCACTACAGATATGGTTTTGGTTCGGTGACATTGAGTTCGGCTCACAAAGATTGACCGTTCAAAAAAATGTACTTTGTGTACATCCATAATTATATGCATAACTACAATTATATATATGTCTAGAAGTACAACACATAGTCTACAAACAATATATATATATACAGTATATATATATATAAAATCCCTTCCTCCTAATACTGAACCCCCTATTAATAAACACATCAGGTAGTTTTTATTATTAGGGGGGCATTTATTATTAGGGAACCCTATTAATAAAATTAAACCCTTACAGTAATAATAAAACCCTTTTTTTTCCGATCTCAAAATCAATTAAATTTCCTTATATAACGCAATTCAAATATTGCCAAAAGTTGGATTTCGAAGCGGACCCTATTAATAAAATTAAACCCTTAATAATAAAATTTGTTCGATTTCAAAATCAATTAAATTTCCTTATATAACCCAATTAAAATATTGCCAAAAGTTGGATTTCGAAGCGGACCCTATTGATAAAATTAAACCCTTAATAATAAAAACTAGTTTGTTCGATTTCAAAATCAATTAAATTTCCTTATGTAACGCAATTAAAATTTTAAAATATTGCCAAAAATTGGATTTCGAAGCGGACCCTATTGATAAAATTAAACCCTTAATAATAAAAACTAGTTTGTTCGATTTCAAAATCAATTAAATTTCCTTTTATAACGCAATTAAGATATTGCCAAAAGTTGGATTTCGAAGCGGACCCTATTAGTAAAATTAAACCCTTAATAATAAAAACTAGTTTGTTCGATTTCAAAATCAATTAAATTTCCTTTTATAACGCAATTAAAATATTGCCAAAAATTGGTTTTCGAAGTGGGCCCTAATAATAAATCAAAACCCTAATATTAAAAAAATTAAAAAACTCGGACGGACCCTAATAACAAACACCCCGGGGTTAACTCGTTTTTAGTATTAGGGGGCAAAACCCACAAATGGTAGCTTTATTTTTAAATTGTTTTCTAAAGGGGATCAATTAAGAGTCAAATTGGCCAATCTGAAATTTTCCGAAATTGGAGATGGACCCCTGTTTTTAGTATTTCGGGGACGTTTAGTAATAGAAGGAAGGGATTATTTAATATATATATATAATTATATATATATGTTTGATATATGACTAAAATATCGTTGCAGTTATGGAATTGGACTTATAAAATGATCAGCACCGTGCCGAGGCGGCGAACAGCCTCGCCGGCGTCGCCCCAGAGCGAGCGCGGCTACAAGAGTTCGTGAAGGCAGCCGACTCCATTGCTGGAAACTTCGATATTTGGTGTTAAAAAAAAATGTGTCCTGCAGACACAATCTAATTATTGCATGTTGACTGGTGATTTGTGTCTGAACATTTGGAAATAGAGCGGGGCAACATTAGGATATCAATTTGAAATGATGGCTGGGTTGATCGTTCGATGTGACAACACGTGCTGCGTTTGTGGGTTTGTCTCAATTTGGGGGGCACCACACTTCGTGGCCATTGAACAATCTGGAAAATGATGGAAACTTTGAGGGTTATAAGTCTTGTGACAACCCCAGATATTCCCCGTGTTTAGTTGCTATTCAAAGTTATCCTCCGGTACTCAAACATGAAAATTACATATATATATATATATTTATGTATATACATCACCTATAAATGGAGGTTTCAATGGGAAAACCGACCATTTAATTTACATAATATGATCTTCCCATTCAAAGTTTCATTTATCATGGGCAGTTCCCTGGAAACAGCAGCAGCTGGGCAGGACTTTGCGAAGTGTGCCATTCGTGGAGTGCCATGCACAGTGGTGAACCCACAAACAGGCGCACTGCGGTGAAGTGCCACGGATTTTTTGGGGGTAAATGTAGTTGTGATATATAGAATTGTTGAGCTGGATTTTCAAATTATGTATTTCATGTTTGTTATTGAAAAACGGTCGAACATGCACATGTAATAATTATATACGCATACAACTATATACATGCGCATTTACATATAGATACACATATATAATTCCTATATACATATATCATGTATATCATACATAATCACTTTATACATACATATATGTGTATATATATATATTCACCCAGGCTTTAATTTCTCACCCCCTTGTACATTTGATATCCCAGGACAAGCCTCAGGGGCGTCCTACTTTCTCGATCCGAAGATCCAGAGGCGGGACGGTCGCCCATTGATTCGGAGGACGATAAACCCTTGGATTCTGGAGTACACCAATCCCATATGCTCCATGTATGGAATATTTACCAACATTTGCCCTAAAAACCACCCAAATGCAGGTAAATATATTGTACATGGAGCATATGGGAATGACAAAGCCACATGTTCTTCTCAGAATTTGAAGGTAACGCCAATGAGTTCCGGTGAAGTTATTCCCGCCAGCCAACCCAATAACTGGAAGTTTAAGATATGAGGTTCCCCCAACACAAAGTAAAATAGGTGAGACAACATGACCCTCTGACTGAAATCCAGAAAATCTAGGGCTGCCCCTGAAATCAGAGAAAGCTTCTGGCCCAAGGCTCCCCCATTTGTACCGTTTGTTGAATTGGTGATGTATGTTAGGGGCTTGGAATCTCAGTCATTGCACATTTTTCAAGGCAAGGTTATGAGGAGATTGCTTTATGAATCCAAACCACAAGGGCAAACCACTTGATTCACTTGATTTCCAAATCAATCCCCATTTGTTATAAATATTACTCAAATCTATGAATATATAGACACCATGGAATCCCTGTTAAATCCCCATGACACCCCCTTAAGTCCCTATGAAAACACCGTTACATTTCATTAAATCCCACTGGAATCTTGTGAAATTCCAGTGAAATCTCATTAAGTCTCCGTTGAATCCCATTAAGCATCATTATATCCGATTCAACCTCGTTAAACCTTCTGATTCCCCCATGACCACCTACTGCGAATTGTCAGATTGGTCTTCAAGCGCTCTCAGACGCCAGAGACAGTCATCGCGAACATCCAGATGGAGAACATCAAGGCGGTGCGCTTGATGATAGATTATATATACAAATACGGGGAATATATAGTATATAACCCACCTTGGATGGGTAGAAACTATATAATCCTTTAAAAAAAGCCTAGCAAAACAGTGACTTTTTTGCGGACTACCAAGAATTGACCATGGGGATATATAACCAACAACAATGTAATGTGGGAAAGCCGTTTTGCCATAAACCTAGTAGGCTGGGATGCATTTGGATCCGGGGATGGCTTTTTTTGGGGGATGGTAAATACCACATCGCCGGGGATCTCCGGGGATACTGTTTTCCAGCATGTACAGCCAAGAATAAGCAGGGCTTAATGATAGTTTATACTGGGTCATGATACTGGTCATGTTTTACTGTAGTAACGGGTATAACATTGTATAATCGTTAGTACAATAGATGGGTTTGTCTGAAAGTGGGATATACCTTCAAGAATGGGAATTTCATAGGATATAGGGAAGATTATGATGATCCATCAAGTTTGGGGATCTCCTAGTTTCAGACTGACCCATAAGATGGGTATTTACTACATAAGATTGGGAATATCACCTGTAAACACGGGAGGGATGATATATATATATATATATACATACATACATGCAAGAATGGCGTGTGGTGATGTTTCTTTCGGACCAAGAAGTTTTTTCCACAAAAAAAATGATGACGCCTGACAGTTCGCGAATTATTCAGATGGTGTCTTTAAACTCGGCCTATGAGCCTTTGACTCACGAGCCAGGCTGCTGGCCGTGGCTGCCTTTGTTCAAAACGGAGTGCCTTGCCACTCTTAGTGAAACTCTGTGCAAGGGCCAGAGGGCATTCTCTTATACTTCTCAGCAGGATCACTTAGAAGTACTTAGAAGACATCGAAGTGAAAGTTTGATACTCCTGAGTTGGAAACATTATGGATATTTCACACGCACACGGTGTCCTCCAATTTCCCGCGCCATGGCCAAGCGAGCCCGTGTGGACAAGGACTCGGCACTGAGCGGGTTGACACGCCTCAGCGAGAGAGAGAAGACCGCCATCTTGGAACGACTCGTCAACGACTCGCGGCTAAGCGCGAGAAAGGTTGTGTGTGAAGAGTTGGAGAAGCGAGACGCGAAACCTTTGGATCCAAATCTCCTGCAGAGCTTCGGCAGCCGTGCCTACCGTGCCTTCCACCAGCTCGATAGGCTCAGGCCGTCCCAGCAGTGTGAACAGAGCCACCGGGTAACGTCTGACATCGGCGATTTGATCCAAGAGGCAGGGCAACTAAAAGCTGCTCATGCCATCATGGCACTGGCCAGGGTGGCTGGAGTTATGAGCCACGCAAGTGATACTGGCCAAGTTTTTCATGACACTGTGGCTTCGTGTGGTGGCATCCCATATGATCTGGCGGAAGCAATGAAGAAACAACTACAGCTCGTGGCAGCAACAGACTGGGGAAGCTTGAAGGCTGCATATGAGCAGATGTTGCGAGTGCAAAGCCGCTTGCAGGATGATTTTGCCATTGAGGAGTTCGACCCCATTGTGAGCGAGATGGCGAAGCATTGCAAGAGTTGACTGCCAATGATCCATTATATATATATATATATTATAGAAGTGTGATGGAGAGAGAAGCCAATAATCATGAGAGGGGGATAGATATACTATATACTCATACATACTTGCACATAATACAAAACAAAGACAATATCAAGCAGGGAGAGAGAGAGAGAGAGAGAAAGAGAGAAAAAAAGAGAGAGAGAGAGAGTGGAGAGAGAGGGAGAGCGATATGTATGTAAGTCTACAACTTGCTGCTGATTGACATGTATAAATAGAGTCTCATTTGTCAACCCAACAAATATCTGATACTGAGCCCAATCAACTCTCATGTTTTGGCGGTCTCCTGTGCAGCCTCTCTTACAGTCCTAGTCTATGGCCGGCTTCAGAGAGGAACAAAAACAGCGGGCAGGGGGATACCTTTGAACAGAGGACATGTCTCCCAATGTCTCCCAGATTGGCCATGTTTGACATGTGAACCAGTCAACCAGATAAGCTCAGGGGTCATCCCATTCTGGTCCGGAGGACGTTTTGGTGGATTCTGGCGTGAGTGAGAAGGCCTGGTGGTCACTGACGAGAGGACATGGGAAGTTTGACGGATCAAGGTACTCTCTTCGGCATTTTTGGCATATATTTTTTCTGATTTCCAAAGTGCTACTTGAAACCTCAAGGGCCTAGACTGAACAGAGGCTACTAAAGCTGCTGTTGAATCTCTCTACAGCCGGCTCCGCGCTGCTTTGCATTTGGAACAGGTCATCTCGAAACATGACGTCAACAGGCAAGTGGGGGGGTGATCGAATGCAGAAGGTCACTCGGTGGTGGTGGGATGTATTTATGTATATTATATATATATATTCATAGAAGCTGATACTAGTAGATAAGATCCGATAAGATCAATAGATAATGATAATATCACCACACCCTTTAAGGCTACTTTTCAGGGGGGGACCATACCGAAATGTAAGATACATTTTTTGGGACTCCCCTTAAATATAAAATTGGTCGCTGAACGTCCCCCAAGTCTCATTTTTGTGGGGAGACTGTCAAAATACCTTCAAAATGTCAGCTTACATTTTCAAGGTCCCCCTCAAAAACACCTTAAAATGTAGCGTACATTTTGGATACGTCCCCCTTAAAAGGGGGTATGATAATCATGATAGATACAAATTGACTTATTCAACAGTGACCTAAACGTGGACTCCGCCAGGTTGGCCATCCTGACCTTCCAGAACGGAGATCCCAGCGTCTTCATCTTGGAGGCGACAGACCACGAAAAATCGACGCTCCATTTGTGCCCATGAACATATACACAATTGCATATAATTGCATACAGTTGCTATGGTATATAATGGGTATATAATGGTACTGGAATCATTTGGTAGAAGAACAATTTTGGTGGGTACTTGGCGGGTCTGGGTAAATGTATCAAAATAGAGTATTAGGAGCAGACATGCAAGTTGAATCAACATGACGTTTATGCATTGAACCCTAGATGATTGTTTCCAATCGATCAAGATGTTTGGAACGCATGGTTGAACCACCAGCAAGCGTTGCAGCATACAACAACCTGGTATCCAGAGTGTGAAAGTTTGTCAATAATCAGATAGAATCAGATAGATAGTTTTATAGATACCGATTGAATGACTCGTTGCATGTATAGATACCCAGACCCTCCAACTACCTTTAAGAATAGGTATGTTACCTCATATACCTGTTTTTTCATGTTTTTCAAATCATTCACTTGCAGGGTCTAGGAATGCATAGATATCCCAATTTGATACATTCATTTGATGCGTGGCCAAGCAGCGCGAGTTTTTGCCAGGGCAGCCAAGTGGACCGTGACCGCTTTGCATTGTGTGTCAAGATCTTGAGGCCGCTTGATCAGGGGCTGAACCTGCAAAAAACTTACGATGTCACGCCAGGATGACAAGACAATGGGGTACCCCTCATGATTACTTTCAGGGTAATATGATAAAATGATGGGATTTGAGGGAGTCCGATTTTCAGGCATACCCATGTTGACATGGTAGTTCTTAATTCAATGATGTTTGGGCCTGAAAAATCCTTGCGGGGCTCTGTATGAGGGACAGTGAGGCAGGCAGAATTGTCTTGTTGTCCGCCATTGTTTGGGCCCAGGGAACCAGCCAATGATATATTAGTATTTAATAACATCTACATACCGTAGATGGACGAATTATTCAAACCCGTGCAATCCAATAACCCCCCGCACCCCCAATTACAATGTTGTTTTTTTGGTTTGGTTCGCTCCTTCGAATGGACGAAATAAATCAAACCCTAAGATCAGGAACAAAGATACGAAACCATAACGTTGAAATTTGGGGGCACAGGGGGTAGTCTACAACTCATGGATGCGGGGTTTGAATAATTGAATAATTTGTCCATCTACTGTATAATTATATACATATATTAATATTAATATATTACCACTAGTTATAATTAATCGCAACCATGGCACCTGAAGCAATGCACAGAAGCGTGAGCGACGATTTTGACCAAGTTGCTGACAGCTGCCGGGTGGGGGAATCTGACCCTGACCAGCCAGGCTCTATGCGCAAATGCAGCAAACAGCGTAGATCAATGGCGAAAGTTGCCGAGGATCAAAAAAACAACATATAAAAATGCATCTACTTATTCCCCACCTGCCAGGTGAGGGTTGTTAGATTTTATGTCAGTTGCCTCCTCCTCCTCCTCCTTCTCCTCCTTCTCCTCCTCCTTCTCCTCCTCCTCCTCCGCCTCCTCCTGCCTCGTCCTCCTCTCCTCCTCCTCCTCGTCGTCCTCGTCGTCCTCGTCGTCCTCGTCGTCCTTGCTCAACTGCGACCCGCGATCCACAGTGTTCTCTGCCGGACCTCAACCACGACCATCCACGCCCAGTGTTCCCTGCCGGACCTCAACCACGACCATCCACGCCCAATGTTCCCTGCCGGACCTCAACCACGACCATCCACGCCCAGTGTTCCCTGCCGGACCTCAACCACGACCATCCACGCCCAGTGTTCCCTGCCGGACCTCAACCGCGAGTATCCACGCCAAGTGTTCCCTGCCGGACCTCATGTAGGAAGATATGGGACAAAGAATGTGCAGAAGAAAGTTAGAAAGCATGTCAGAAGATATGCCAGAAGATATGCCAGATAGAATGCCAGATTGAATGCCAGAAGATATGCCAGATAGAATGCCAGATAGAATGCCAGAAGATTTGCCAGATAGAATGCCAGAAAATATGCCAGAAGATATGCCAGATAGATATGTCAGAAGCTATTCCCAGAAGATATGCCAGAAATATGTCAAAATATATGCCAGAAGATAGGCCGAAGATATGTCAGATAGAGATGCCAGAAGATTTCCGAATATATGCCAAGAGATATGCCAGATAGATGCCAGAAGATATGTCCAGATGATGCCAAAGATATGCCAGATAGAATGCCAGAAGATTTGCCAGAAGATTTGCCAGATAGAATGCCAGAAGATATGCCAGATCATATGCCAGAAGATATGCCAGATAGAATGTCAAATAGAATGTCAGAAGATATGTCAGATAGAATGCCAGAAGATTTGCCAGTAAGAAAATGTATAAATGTCATGGTGGGGATCACATGAAGTAAAGTAATTATTTCTTATTACTTTTTATTCAAAAAACTATTGTTAAAGTGCCAATTTATGACAAAGATTCCGATAAGAAGTCCTTTGCTAAATTCTGGCTGTTTAATTTGTTATAAATTGTATCTCATTTTCGCGATACGATTTATTGGCTGTAATCGAGGAAGAGTATAGTGAGATATACTGAGCAAATATGAGCAAATCAGGAAAAAATAATAGTTTATTATGAAGAAAAGTAGATTTGGCTCGGGCCCTATGTTGTTTTTTCCTCTGCTCGTTAGCCGCGATAATCGATAAAATATAACACCTGCCATTAACCTCTTTGTTGGCCGGTTTCCCTGGGTTTCTGACATTTCCTAGAAGTGAACGCAAGAGATTTGTCCTCCTACGCATTTCTAACGGAACAATTTACGTAAGAGATTATGTAAACAATGGATAAGTGAAACATGTGTTTGAACATGCGTTTGTATGTAGCTGCACTCCAATATTGTACGATCCCAAGTATTGAATGTTTGTCCATGTCAGGGTTTGTTTTTATTTATGTTTGGATTTATTTAAATCTATATTGTGGAAAGGTTATATTGTGACGTTATGGATAGGTTAATAAATATATTATATACGAAAATATAAAATGGAAAAATTGGGAATATTAATTAATATTTTAATAAATATTTTAATATTTATAATATATATTTAAAAAATAATTATATATATATATACATATATTTTTATTATTATAATATTATTTTTTATTATATTTGAAAATGGAAAATTAATTATATATATATATATTTAAATATATATAAATCCGAAAAAATATAAACATATAATAAATTATATTATAAATTATATAATAATACATGAAATAAATAAAAATAAATAAATATATAAATATTGTTTTATTTTTTTAAATAATTTTTATATTAAGATATATAATTATTTTTAAATAAATAAATAATATATTAATAAATTAAAGGATAGGATAATTTCACAAGGCAATTTCTTCCAATAATGAGTACTAAATGTTGTAGCGGGGATAGGGAAAGAAGGAAAAACAAAGGAGGTGGTGGAGGATCGAGAAGTAAAACAAAATTGTATGGGTGATATAATTATATGTGAAAGATGGTATGTGACAAAGAAAGATGGTGTGTGTGTGACAAAGTTGTGTGTGAAAGATGGTGTGTGTGAAAATTGTGTGAGAAAGAGAGTGTGTGACAAAATTGTGTGTGAAAGATGGTGTGTGTAAAAGATGCTATGTGAAAGATGTTGGTTGACAAAGATGTGTGTGAGAGATGGTGTCTGAGAAATGGTGTGTGAAAGATGGTGTGTGAAAGTGTGTGTGAAAGATGGTGTGTGAAAGATGGTGTGTGAAAGTGTGTGTAAAAGATGGTGTGTGAAAGATGGTGGGTGAAAGTGTGTGTAAAAGATGGTGGAAGAAAGATGGTAGGTGAAAGAGGGTGGTTGATAAAGATGTGAAAGATGGTGTGTAAAAGATGGTGGGTGAAAGAGGGTAATTGATAAAGATGAGAAAGATGGTATGTGAAAGATGATGAAAGATGGTGGTTGGCAAAAATAATTGATAAAAATGGTGTGTGAAAGAGGGCATATGACAATTATGTGAAAGATGGTGGTTGAGAAAGATGGTGTAAGAAAAAATAATATATGAAAAATGGTATGTGACAAAATTGCGAGAAAAATGTGTGTGACAGATGGTGTGTAAAATTATGTGCGGAAGATGGTATATGACAAAATTGTATGCGAAAGATGG